CGCTATTTATCTATCCCACATTATATATATATATATATATATGAAAATACACGAGACTTGCCTTCAGGGTGTATAAACGTGTAAGTACTGTATTCAGACTGTATCTCGTTAGAGGAGATTTGAAATGATCTGCTATTTGATATGATATTAAACTCGCCTGTGTGACCGAGCGGCATCGTACATCTGTCACCTTGTGGGCGGGATTCTCGGAAATTCATACAATATTTCTTTTTCCTTCTAACTCATGGTGTGAGAATGCCACTAATTGCTGTAGACAAGTGTAGTGTGTAGAGTCTCAGAGCAATTTTGACGCCATTCATATTTCTCATCTTTTGTTAGGGGCTTTTTTTTTACTGTAAGAAAATAATAATAATAATAATAATAATAATGACATAACTAACCCGTCCTAGGGGTCACTCACTGCTCACTGATATTTAATACTACTCAAAACAAATATCTGAATCAAGAGTCTGTATCAAATATCTGCTCCCATCCCTACCCTCTCTTCCTTCCCACCTTTCTCACTCCTCTCCCACTCCTCACCTTTCCTCCTCTCTCCCACCCCACCTTTCCCTCCTCTCCTTCCCCACCCTCTCACCCACTTCTTACCCCCCCTCTCTCCCCTCCTCCACACACTTGCTTTAATCATCAACAACTAAAAGAAAAAAAGAAGAACAGTGAGACTCCTACAGCTGGTTGATTCTGTCTACTGTTACACCTCCCTCATAGTACCCCACGCCCCATAACACGCCCTCATAAATTCCCGCCCCATACGATATACACGCCTCATAACACTCCCCACGCCCCATAAGACATACACGCCTCATAACAATCCCCCGCCCCCATAAGATATACACGCCCTCATAACATCCCCACGCCCCCATAAGACATACACGCCCTCATAACAATTCCCCACGCCCCATAAGACATACACGCCCTCATAACAATCCCCCACGCCCCATACGATATACACGCCTCTAACAATCACGCCCCATAAGACATACACGCCCTCATAACAATCCCCACGCCCCCATACGATATACACGCCCTCATAACAATCCCACGCCCCATAAGACCTACACGCCCTCATAGAGCCACGTCCACCACGCCCTATAAGACCTACACCCCTCGTAACATTTCCCGTCCTCTACCACGCTACCATACCCCATACACCTACACGCCCATGCAACCCCTGATATGCCTCATAACTCCCCCCAAAGACCAACACGCCCCACTCCTCCACGTCTCTACCACGCCCCACCTACACGCCCTAACACTCCCCACGCCCCCATAAGACCTACACGCCCTCATAATCCCCGCCCCATAAGACATACACGCCCTCATAACAATCCCCACGCCCCATACGATATACACGCCCTCATAACAATCCACGCCCCCATAAGACCTACACGCCCTCATAGAGAGCCCCACGTCCTCTACCACGCCCCCACAAGACCTACACGCCCTCATAACTCCCCACGCCCCATAGACCTACACGCCCTCATAACACTCCCCACGCCCTCATGATACCCGCCACGTCCCTCGAAACACACTACTCCCTCCTAAATCCTATTTGACCTCACATTACTACTGTTATTAGTTATGTTACAGACTATTGCTAATTACTGAGTACATACACCACTCTATGTATGTATGTATGTATGTATGTATGTATGTGTTATTCTATGCAAGTATTTGTGTGTACTGTATACACTGTATAGTGAACCTGTGTGTACGTCACCTCCACCCCTCACTCACCACCTCTCCCTTCCCCGCCCCCCTCAGTATTTTCCCACGGGTGGGGAGGGGGAGAGAGGGGGAGGGGAGGAGGGGGAGAGCAGACCGACGCTACCATCTGGGTCGTGAGGGGCACGCTGAGGGATGGGGGGGGTGAGGAGGGGGTAGGAGTGATCTCTGCCGCCTTGCCCCCCCCCCCCGCACGACAGCTGCGATGCCAAACCTGGGTGTATGAGGGAGGGAGGGAGGAAGAAGGGAGGGAGAGGAGAGCCCATGAGTGTAAGAGTAAGTGGAAGGAGGTGATGAGGTAGGATGACGAAGAAGGGAAGGAGAGAAGGAAGGGGAGAGGAAGGAGGGAGAGAAGGAAGGAAATGAAAGAAGGAAGGGTGAGTATAAAACATTAACTGATATTCTAAATAAATAAATAATTATCTTTTACTGTCTACATTGTCCTTTATCTTTAACCCGAAGAAGAAGAAGAAGGCAACGAGAATAAAACAGGTGAAAGACACAGTTAACTTTACAACCGCAGAAGCAAACACCAACCAACAACGCTTTTTTGGTTATTACAAATAATCCCCCTCTCTCTAAATCCAAGCTGAGAGAGAGAGAGAGAGAGAGAGAGAGAGAGAGAGAGAGAGAGAGAGATTCAAGCATATTTTTAAGCTGTCCTGCAGATTCCAGAACACGACCACCTACATACATTCACCAAGCTTGAGAGAAAGAACAGCTTATTGTGGACGTGTGTGTGTGTGTGAGGAGCAGCTTACCCAAGGCAGGTGGTCACCCCCCCCCCCCAAGCGTGTTGACATTCGAGAGGCAACTGGATAAGAAGTTGGTAGATCGAGATGTCAAGGTGCCCATAAGAAGTCTATATTATTCGTATATTAAAACCACTAACACACTTAATACCGACTAGTTTTATAAAGACGTGGTAAATGTTAATAATAATAATAATAATAATAATAATAATAATAATAATAATAATAATAATAATAATAATAATAATAATAATAGCAATAAAAGTAATAAAATATAAAAATAAATAACAATAATCATCACCACCAACAAAAACAACAATAATAATAATAACAATAATAATAATAACACGAAGCTTCTATTAAAAAAGGACGTAAATAACCTGAGTAATTAAAGTACGGTCATTAATTAACTTTGTAAATAATTTAACGAAGGCTTTTAATAAACTTGTCAATTATTATCAATTCAGTAAATTAGTACGTAAGTAATTTAGAGTTAATTGAGTCGTAAATAACAAAATAAAAAAATGGAAAAATTATTGAAATATTAAGTTAGTAAATTATGTTGGCCAATTAGGTTACATTATAAGTTAACAAATAAATACAGATTTGTTAATTAATTGGCAAGTAATCAAAATAATACTAAATTGGAAGAAATTTTAATTCACAAACTAATAAATGGTTCAATAAGTAAATTAAGCAAATGATTAATTGGTAAATACACAGACAAACTAATCAACAGGTGAGTTTATTGATAAATTAGAAACCTATTAATAAGTAAATCACCAATTAAGCGGAGACGAAAAAAAAACAGGAAAAAATACAAAATACAAAATAAAAACCTAAACTGTTAATATTAAATAGATGGAAAAAAACAACTTTGTAATAAATGAATAAATTAAAGCTGGACATTATTCATACTTTTATTAACTGAAGAAATATACTTGACATTTATACACAAGACAATAATAACAATATATAAAGTGAATAAAATTTATCGCTCGAGAAAAACTAATAATGCCAGAATCAGTTAATTAAATAATCAATAATTAAATGTTGGTAAAGTAAAGAATTAAGAGAGAGAGAGAGAGAGAGAGAGAGAGAGAGAGCCGTGGGAACTGACCAACATATCGACCTCCAATGCTGAGCTGCACTAATGAGCTAATGACTTCACCTCCTCCCCCCCCCCCTCCTCCGTGTTATTTAAGTCCCAAGTCAATTAAAAAATAAGTCAAAGGGTCTCTATTTAACAACACTCTATATACAATGTACATGAATTAGCAAAATTCGCTAAAGTCGTTAAATATTTTTTAGAATATGTTATCGTGAGATCTATCTAACATGTGCACAATTAAATAGCTCTTTGGCATCTACTAATTACTTATGTTTGTCCATAATAAATAAGTCTCTCTCTCTCTCTCTCTCTCTCTCTCTCTCTCTCTCTCTCTCTCTCTCTCTCTCTCTCTCTCTCTTATAAATCTATAAATTGTTCAATACATTTATCTTAAGGTCCCATTTCGTGTTATTTTCTATCGGATAAAATTTTCACAGATAAATTGTAGCAGACGTTTCCTCCCTCCCAGTCGAGAATATCCCCACAATGAAGGTAATAAAGTGGTTAGGTTAGGTTAAGTTTAGGTTTAGGTTAGGTTTAGGTTAGGTTTAGGTTAGGTTAGGTTAGGTTAGGTTAGGTTTATGATAGGTGATGATGATACTACTACTACTACTACTACTACTACTAATAATAATAATAGATAAAAAAATAATAATAATAGTAATAATAAAATAATAATAATAATAAAATAATAATAATGATTCTTTTATTAAACATCACACACAATAAACACGGGTTACATACATGAAATTTTCACTGTACCAATAATTCTCAAGTTGATACAAGTTAATGAAAAAATGGGTTCAAAATAAATAATATCCACGTTAAAATTATAGGGATTTATTACCCATTAACTGTAATATCAAGTAATGTCAAGAAATTGTTTGGATTATAAGCAGTGCTGAGGTAAAAGTCATACTTAAGTACTTGATATTACTTGTCCTGAACACCACCAACTCGTCATCAATGTGGTATAGAGGTTGAGTGTTATAATGAAGTGTACTGTATACTGTAGGTGATCTATATAAAGGTGTTCTGAACAGTGATGGTGACAGTATACCTTCTTGAATGATGCTGTATATTTATAAGGGGTGAGGTAATTAGGTTAGGTTAGGTTAAGTGAGTAAGATGTAGGTTAGATTAGGTTAAGTAAGATGTAGGTTAGGTTAGTTAAGTTAAGATGTGGTGTTGGTTAGGGTTACAAGATGTAGGTTAGGTTAGGTTAAGTGAGTAAGATGTAGGTTAGATTAGGTTTAATAATATCTAGAATAGGGTAGATTAGGTTAGGTTATTTAAGATGTAGAATATGTTAGGTTAGTGCGCAGTCAAGTAGATTAGGTTAGGTTAGTTGAAGTTAGGTCTTAACTTGTCTAGCTTAGGTTGCTATTCTAGATTAGGTTAGACTAGAATAATTGTGTTACTACGTTAGGTTAGGTGCAGCCACCCTCCACCTCGCCTCTCGCTAGGCTTGACTGCTGCCTCAGTGGTTGTTGACCTTCTACAGGTGGTCGTCGAGATGTGAGGTGTTGTCAGTGGATGCTCAGGTGGCATAGTGGGCGGCACCACCTGGCGGGCAGCACACACACACACTGTGGGCACCCCGCACATCGTTTAACCTGCCCTGTGTCACGCATAGCTCACCCCAACCACGCCGGAAGCCCAAACAGAATCCGCCTCTACACCGCCGCGTCGTAGAGGCTTGGGAAACTCTCCCGCCAGCCTGAAGTAGAAGGGCTCGATAAGTAATACTCCAAGATTCGCTCAAATGCAAGTTGAGGATAGAGGTGGTGAGGAGGGATAGTTGAGGTGTGTGGGATGCGTCCTTGTGGCTAGTGGTGGGCCCCAGGAGCAGTGTGCAGGGTTATTGTCGTGTCAATCAGACCGGCTACCGCGCACCTCAGGGCAACAACGACACGAGATCTCCCTCCTCCACGGACTGTGTTGTCAGTCTTCCTCTCTGTGTGGTGATGATTCTGGCCTTATTTAACCGAGTCTAAATTTTACTCAGGCTGTAATGTAGAGTAAGATTTAAGTAAGAAAGAGAGTAGAGATTACTGGGGAAGGAGTTAAACTAGAGTAGAGGAGGAGGGGAGAGGAGGGTGTGGCGGCGAGCGTGTGGTGGCGGACAGTAGGTGGCGAGAGGTTCACACGGTGCGCGTGGGAACACCGCCGCTCACACACTCGCACACGCACACACTCACACATGTACGCCACACGCACACATCGCCACCGCTTGTCTTGTACACCTACAAAATTCACTTTTAACTAAATCTCAACGTTGAATTTAACGTATTACTGATATACACCTAACGTAAGCCCGATGTTACAGTTTTGAGCGAGTAAATACGAGGTAGCGTGAGGGAGATAGAAGGGAGTGATCGTACGTCTGGCGACTGCGTGAGTCCCGCGGCGCACGGTTGTATATGAGGTCGACCGTCGCCCGGCACACGACACTTCCCAGCCCACCGCCGTCGTCGACACACGCACCGTGTGCTCTCACATACGCACGCACGTGCATGCACACCACTGCCTTGTGTTGAGGATTACGCCCACAACTTCTCATCCCCCAAGTGTCTTAGTTAACTGGAGTGCCTTTACTGTACAATATCAAAGTGATACAATATACAAGTGTCGTACCAAACAGTGACAAGTGACGTACATCAGTGAGGTATTACACGTCTTGACCCGGACGACGTGTCTGTTGTGGTATTGTTACTGGTGTGTCTTATGATCGTGAGCGGTCGTGCAACGGCGTTTAGCGGCGTGAAGCAGGAGGCAGGACTGTACGGGTCGTCGCGACCTCCGGGGCACCTTAACCACGTCGACGCCAACATTTGCAACATGAAGCGAACACTGAGTGAGAGTGACGGTGATGACATCTACTCTGGCGACGAGAAAGAGTGAGTTAACTCTCTCTCTGTTCATCACACTCCTGTTCTTCACGTTCATCATGATTGAATTGAATTGAAACAGTTTATTTAGCCAGAAAAATACAGATATAGAGTGGATAATAATTACAATATTAACATGGCTGAGCCAGTTGAGAACCTGAGCTCTCTTTTAGGCACCTGATATATACTATACATCTGTGTTCTTCATTTTTCCATGTTCACCTTTGTTCACGTAAACTGCCTTAATTTTCACCTGCGTTCTTGTTCACCTGCGTTCTTGTTCACCTGCGTTCTTGTTCACCTGTGTTCAGTTCACCTGCGTTTTTGTTCACCTGTGTTCTTGTTCACCTGCGTTCTTGTTCACCTGTGTTCTTGTTCACCTGTGTTCAGTTCACCTGTGTTCTTGTTCACCTGTGTTCGTGTCACCTGTTCATCATGTTCACCTGCGTTCTTATTCATCTGTATTCTTGTTTTCTTATTTTCAAATTTACTTATCTTAATATTTACATGTGTTCATATTATTTATCACTCGTTCACCAGTGTTCATCCTGTTAATTTTTTTTCATTATTGTTCATCACCTTTGTTCACTAGTCACGTTTACGTGTATTCATTATGTTGACTTCTGTTCACTACCTTTATATTGTTCACAATTATACATATAGTTCACTCATGTTCACATCATTATTCACCACAGTGTTCACTATTCACTACCTCGCCGTTCATTACAGTTTTCCTTCCTTCACCATTCAACATCACGTTCACAAAGCTCATTCATAATCACACCAAGTTCATGTTCTTAGTTCAATCCCGCACCATTATATTCTCACCTGATGGATGATTTTCCCCCTATAGGTGAAATACTTGCCCTTAACCTGCCTGTGTGTGTGTGTGTGTGTGTGTGTTTGTTGATGGTGCCGCCAAATGGATGTTATTTTTCCTGTATTTTATATGTCCCGATACATACATACATACATACATACATACATACATACACACATACACACACATCTCATCCATACTTAAACAATTGTCTCACACCCCTCCTCAACATACACATCTGCCTCATCTCCCATACATTCATACATACATGCCTTACCCCCCCACACGCATACATAACTCTCATTCTCCTAACACGCATACTTACCTCACCCCCTCATACCCATACCTGCATCATCTCCCCTCATACACATACCTGCATCATCCCCCTCATACACATACCTGCATCATCCCCTCATACACATACCTGCATCCATCCCCCCTCATACACATACCTGCATCATCCCCTCATACATACCTGTGACCTCATCCCCTCATACACATACCTGCATCATCCCTCATACACATACCTGCATCATCCCCCTCATACACACATCATCCCCTCATACCCCCTCATACACATACCTGCATCATCCCCATACACACACATACCTGCATCATCCCCCTCATACCTGATCATCCCCCTCATACACATACCTGCATCATCCCCTCATACACATACCTGCATCATCCTCATACACATACCTGTCATCCATCACATCTCATCATACTCTGCATCATCCCCCTCATACACACATACCTGCATCATCTCCCCATACACATACCTGCATCATCCCCTCATACACATACCTGTCATCCCCTCTCATACACATACCTGCACCTCATCCCCCCATACACACTCTGCATCATCCCTCACACATACCTGCATCATATACACATACACATACCTGCATCATCATCATACCTCATACACATACCTGCATCATCCCCTCATACACATACCTGCATACCTGCATCATCACACATACCTGCATCATCTCCCTCATACACATCACTGCATCCCTCATACACATACCTGCATCATCCCCTCATACACATACCTGCATCATCCCCCTTCATACACATACCTGCATCATACCTGCATCATACACATACCTGCATCATCCCTCATACACATACCTCCGCATCATTACACATACCTGCATCATCCTCATACACATACTCATCACACACATACCTGCATCATCCTCATACACATACCTGCATCATCCCCCTCATCATACACATACCTGCATCATCCTCATACACATACCTGCATCATCTCCCTCATACACATACCGCATCATCCCCCTTCACACATACCTGCATCATCCCCTCATACCTGCATCATCCCCCACACATACCTGCATCATCCCCCCTCACACGCATCACACCAATCAATCACAACCCACACATGCCCATACACGCCAACCCACACATGCCCATACACGCCAACCACCTCCCCCACCCTCCAGCATTCACATCATACCCACCACCTCATCCCCCACTCTTCCTCCTCACACCTGTCCAACTAACCATCCCTCTTCCCTGGTCAGCCTGGACGACTGCTCCTCTAGTGGCGGCGGTGGAGGGGCCTCCCGCAAGCGTCGTCGCGGCATCATAGAGAAGCGCCGCAGGGACCGCATCAACAACTCACTGTCGGAGCTGAGGCGCCTGGTGCCCGCCGCCTTTGAGAAGCAAGGGTCGGCCAAGCTAGAGAAGGCGGAAATACTGCAGATGACAGTCGACCACCTTAAGATGCTCCACACCAAGGGTAAGTGAGAGAGAGACAAACCCTCTCCTCCCACACAGGCCAAATGTTAGAACTAGGACACCTCATCACACTTCCCTAATACGCGGCTTCTTAAACATCCGTTGTGTCCCCCTCTACACACCCGAAGGAACCTTAACAGGAAGTCTCAGTAGGCTTCTTTCCATCCCTCCTCCTCCTCATCCTTATCCTCCTGGTTAAAAATAAAGAATTATCCTTCCTTCACCCCGCCACCCACCCCCTTACCTCCTCCACCCACCCGATAAAAAAAAAACAGTTCACTCACGGAAATAGCAGTCAGTCAGTCAGGGAGCCGAGCTGGTGGCGGCATAACGTGTTCGTGTGTGAGTCGTCTTTCGGTAACAATGGTGCTCCGTGGTGTACCCTTAGAGTGGTAACAATGGGTCCGTGTGGTGGGTAGTTCCGGGGAAATATTGGGGGGGATGTTGGTCAGAGGTGTGTGGGTAGGGGAGGGGGAGAGGGACCTCTGTGATTATGGTCGCTACTGGTGCTGCTGGTAGTGAGTGGTATTAGTAGTAGTGGTGATTGTGGTGGTAGTCAGGGAGTATAATCGTGACGCTGATGGTGGTAGTAAACAAATTATATTGGTGGTAATGGATAGTAGTAGTTTGTAGTGGTGGTGATTGTGGTATTAAAAGGCGGTACGAGTGATGGTGGTAATTATATTGGTGATGGTGCTAGGGGTGATAGTAGTACGAGTCCTGATGGTGTTAGTAGTAGTGGTCGTAGTAATAATAATAGTGGTGGTAGTGGTAGTAGCAGAAATATGATAGGGACACTAAATTTTTCGTGAGACCATGTAAATATGAAAGACACCTTGGCCAAATCCCACCATTTGCCAATTCGGCAAAAAAACTGAGAGTGAAGAAGCAGGTGGAGGGTAGAGAGAGAGAGATAAACTAGATTCGATTATAACTTTACTTTAGTTTGAGCGGGTTAGGTTAGGTTAGGTTTTAGCATCAATGGGCACCTGATTGAACAGTATGCAAAATGGAAACACCACATCATCCACTCCTACACTCCACCACACCCTCAACACCCCACCCTACACCTCAACACCCCACCCTACACTCTCATCATCCCACCCTACCATACACCCACCCTACACCCTCAACACCCACCCCCCCACACCCCACCCTACACCCTCCAACACCCCGCCCTACACCCTCAACACCCCACCCTACATCCTCAACACCCCACCCTACCTACACCCCCTCAACACCCCACCCTACACTCTCATCATCACCCTACCATACACCCCACCCTCAACACCCACCCAACACCATACACCCCTACACCCGTTCTCAGAGGTGGGTGGTGAGCAGGCAGGTTCCCAGGGCCCGGGCAGGGTTGTGCCCAGTGAGAGCCTTTACCCCTCACAATGGGAGGCCCCTCTCCACCTCCCTCTCCCTCCCTCAGCCCACTCTCCACCTCCCTCTCTCCCTCCTCAGCCCCTCCACCTCCATCTCTCTCCTCAGCTCCACTCTCCACCTCCATCTCTCCCTCCTCAGCCCACTCTCCACCTCCATCTCTCCCTCCTCAGCCCCTCTCCCCTCCACCTCCATCTCTCCCTCCTCAGCCCATTCTCTCCACCTCCTCCCTCTCTCCTCCTCAGCCCACTCTCCACCTCCCCTCTCTCCCTCCTCAGCCCACTCTCCACCTCCCCTCTCCCTCCTCAGCCCACTCTCCACCTCCCTCTCTCCCCTCTCTCCACCTCCCCTCCCTCCTCAGCCCACGCCCACCTCTCCTTCCTCAGCCCACTCTGTGTAACGTTCAGTGCCATAATATCCTGACAACGGGGTTAATTATTATGACCGTTGTAAACTCTACTCTGTAATCCTTTTGCGCTACCGCTCACAGGATGAGTGTGGGTGCACAATAAAGTAGCGGCTGTAAGCGGCAAAATCAAAATCAATCTCCGCCCCTCTCTCTCCTCAGCCACTCTCCACCTCCCTATCTCCTCCTCAGCCCACTCTCCACCTCCCTACCTCTCTCCTCAGCCCACTCTCCACCTCCCTCTCTCCCTCCTCAGCCCACTATTCCTCCCTGTCCCTCCTCATCCGTATCTCCTTAACTCCTTCCCTCGCAAAATCATCACCCCTCACACACACACACACACACACACACACACACACACTGCCTCCGTCCCTCCCTCCCTATACACGTACACATTCCTTCTTCCTTCCCTTAGGTACACTCCTCCCTACCACAACACACACTTCCTCCCTCCTTCCCTCATGCATCCCCTACTATAACACACCTCCCCAACACACCCTCCCCTTTACCCCCAACACACCTCCTCCTCTTCTCAACCTCCCCAACACACCTCTCCCTCCCCTCAACCTCCTCCCCAACATACACACCCCCAACATTCCCCTCCCCCACACTAAAAGGAATTCTGGGCATCTAACATCTGGCTGACTTACCACCACCTGTCCGAGCTTGTTGCCCCCTCCCCCCACCTCGCTCTCTCCCCTCTTCTTCCTACTTCCTCTCACCCCCCCCCACTCTTTATGTTGACACCAGCCCGCGTTCCTACTCCCCCTCTCTCTCTCTCTCTCTCTCTCTCTCTCTCTCTCTCTCTCACACACACACACTCACACACTCACACAATGGGCCAGTAGTTGTGTGTATTGAATTAGAAAGCGCGAGACGTGACTCGTACGTCTGTTGACACTGACAGACAGACGCACAGACAAAGGGAGAGATGTATATAGGCACAGACACACAAATGAACGGACAGACATCCACTCAAACGAACTTAACCACCTCCTACCCCCACCTAAATGAATTACTATTCTCTATCCCCCGTACATCCACCAACACTCATCTCTCCCCCATATACTCTGCTATCCCCCATACACCCCACCTATTCCACCCTACACACCCCCACACACCCACCTATTCCACCCTACACACCCACCTACTCGACACACAATAATTTTCCTATTTACCGTTTGAGAAATGACTACCTCCTCCGGCTACCATCATCAATGTTTATGTTTTGGACTGAACTGGGTCAGCTGATTGGCTTACCTCCCCTCCCCACACACACCTGGCCCGTCTCCCCCCTCGCCCCCACCCTACCCAGCTGAGGTAATCATGCACGATGTATGATGATGATGATGATTCTGTGTACATGATGGACTTTTATGATTGGTGTGTTGGGGTGTGTTAGGGTGTGTGGTTTGTGCTTGTGTTTGTGTGAAGGTTTGTTGTTGAATGGAGTGGGAGAGGGTGGGGGTGGTGTAGGGTGTGTTAACGTTGGGGGTGTATTGAGGGTGCGTTCGTGTTGGGGGTGGCAAAGTTGATATTTAATTGATAAGGTGTTGGGGTGTGTGTGTGTGTGGTGTGTGTGTTTCGGACGTGGCCTGTGTGTGTGTGTGTGTGTACGTGTGTGGGGTGGGAACGAACCACTGCCAGGGTGGGAAAAAGGTCCAAAGATCGCCCGACCCTGGTAACATCAGACGAGTTGCCAACTATTCATCATTTATTTATTTTTCCCCCTCTAAATCTTAAACTAATTTCTTCTCTTAATATCCCTCTTAGTTTTTCCCTCCCCACCAGATATGACAAAAATGATTCCCTCTTTAACTTCATGTCGTAAAAAATAAAATTATCAGAAAAACGTAAGATATTTCACGGTTCGTAAGTGAGAAAAAATAATAGTCATAATTTTTAAAACTGGCAACGATTGTGCGAACTCTCCTCGTTTTCTGTTGACACTTTCCGTCACCGTTCAGTCTATTTTAAACGGATTAGTTCCACAGTGACCGCGGCCCACCTAAAGTAACAACGGTGGGAACTTTTCTCTGAACGAAATGAATGAAAATTGAACGATGAGCAAAGTAGGGGTAGGGAGGGTGGATAGGAGGCGGTGTGTGTGTGTGTGTGTGTGTGTGTGTATAGATATGAGAATATGTGTGCTTGTGTATGTACATATGATGTGTGTGCGTGTAAGTGATTACTGGGTTTCAGCTGCTACTGGTTACACACACAGTCGAGAGAGAGAGAGAGAGAGAGAGTTCCCAGGTTGGGCACGACCTCAGGAAGATTCTGTCACGTCCCGGTTCCGCTCCCTTCCTCTACTTAACAGTTAACACACCATCCCTCCCGCTACTTAACACATTCTCCCTCCTTCTACTTAACACTCTCTTCCTCCTACTTAACACACTTTCCCTCCCTCTACTTAACACACTCTTCCTCCCTCTACTTAACACACCATCCCTCCCTCCCCGAGTCCCTTCTACTTCCACACTCCATTGCCTTAACACACTCATATTCTTTCCCTCTGCTTAACATCCTTTCTTTAACGAACTCTTATCTAACACACACACAATGTTTATCATAGATTTTAATTAAAGTTATTGGGGTATATAACACTAGTGTTTTAGTATGAGAGAGAGAGAGCCGTATCCATCACCCCATGCACTAATAGTAGCCGTCTTCCTCACAGGTCTGGACGCCCTCGCCTACGACCCCAACAAGTTCGCCATGGACTACCACAACATCGGCTTCCGGGAGTGTGCGGCGGAGGTGGCGCGCTACCTGGTCACCATTGAAGGCATGGACATCCAGGACCCACTGCGCCTGCGCCTCATGAGTCACCTGCAGTGTTACGCCGCCCAGAGGGACCTGGCCAACAAACAGGCAGCGTCCTCCTGGGGGTGGGGGTCATCGCAAGCGACCACCACTCCTACGACTTACCCTGCGGGGTCGTCTCTGTCTGGAGGGTTCCAGGGGCATGTGCTGCCCCCACACGGTGCCACACACCCCTCCCCCGGCCCCCACCACACATCCAGCCTGGGAGGCCTGGATCAGAGTCACGGCATGTCTGCCTTTAGCGCCCCGTCTTCCAGCGGCTCCAATGATCTGGGTAGTGGTGGGCCTGGGTGTAGCCTCGGGGCGGGGCAGGTCCCTCGTCTGCCCACCACGGGATCCGGGGCACCACAGATTCCTGCTGTCACCATGAGCACAGCCTCCACCCCTCACACCAACTACCACCTCAACCTCAACGCCCACACCTTCCCCGCCAACCCTTCCAACATCCCTAACCTGAACCTCTCCGGCAACACGGCGCCGCTCAACGCTGCCTCCTACAACCCCGGCCTGCAGCCTGGCGGCGCCGGGGTCAAGCCCTACAGGCCCTGGGGCGCCGAAATCGCGTATTGAATCGAACCAAGACCACACCTTCCCCACGACCCTCTCACACACGGACTCGACCATGGTGAATCATACTATTATCCCATAATTGGGAGTTTAAATTATGGCGAGAGTGACGCTGTGCAGGGTGAGTGAAGGGGAGGTGTGGGCAGGTTAGGGGAGGTGTAGGGGGAGCGAGGGGAGGTGTAGGAGGGACGTGACATTAATTAAAGATCGACTTTTACTGTGATGTGAATCCTTAGGGACCAGACATCATCATTATCATCTTCATCACCAGTCACTATCATCATTATTAGTCATTATCATAACCATCATTATCACTATCATCACTATCGCCATCACTATCACCATCATGTCCACACTCTGTAGTCTTAGTGCAATATTTAAGTGTTCAGTCCTGTGTAAATATGAATGTAAATATTTTTGTACATTATCGTGCTTCATATTTTTGTGATCTCTGATAGAAAATAAAAAAGTTTATAATTAACAGTCATTAATTTTTTCCTTTTACGAATCAACACTAAATGCGTCAATAATACACTACGTGATAAATAGGTTAAAATCATACACAAATACAGAAAACTACAAAAGGAACTAAATAGGTTAAAACAGGGGTGGGCAAAGTATGGCCGGCGGGCCACATTTGGCCCGCCAAATTATTTCTGTGGCTCGCCACTGCATTTGTATTTACAAATACAAGGCTTTACTTTGTGTTAATATTATACATTTGCATCTACATTAAGTGTGTGGCCCGCGAAGTGTGCCACCATTCATGAAGTGACCCCTCCATCAAAAATAATTGCCCACCCCTGGGTTAAAATCATACACAAATACAGAAAACTACAAAAGAAACTAAATAGATAATATTTTGTAGATGAATATCAATTTATTTCATTACAAAACCGACAACAATACCCTGAGATACTGTTTGTAGTAATTTCTGATACTCTGAGACACTTTCTGGTAATTTATTATAACTTTGACACTTTCTGATACGTTTAGACACTTTCTGGTAATATCTGATACTAAACACAATCATGACATTTCTCTTTACGTTACGCGATGGAAACTTGGCCACGAAAACAACTCAATTGTTTCCAGTAATAATTATTGTCCTTTTATTTCCCTATATTTAAGATGATGTAGAGAGACAGATGCTTTTAGATATACTTATAATGACTATTTTGAAGGAGATAAGAAAATTAATCTAATATTTTGAGGTATAGAGTTTACTAGAGTACCCCCTTATGTTAAAGAAGAAAACTCGATACTCTCTGTGAAAGGAAATATGAAGACAAGAGAAGACGAAGAAACGGTACATATTATCGTTTCAGTCATCCACCTATTTGGAGTAGATCAGAATAGTTCAAAAACCATCGGGCAAAAAATATAAATTCAACCTAACTTAACCTAACCTAACCTAATCTAATCTAGCCTAACCTAGCTTAGCCTAATATGGTGACCCGATGATTTTAACCTATGCTAATCCTAACCCAAGGATTAGTCTGTGTCCAATCATGACCTGACCCTAGGATGAGAGAGAGAGAGAGAGAGAGAGAGAGAGAGCAGTGATGGGAAAGGGAGGGTAGTGAGAGTGAGTGAGGAGGGTAGAGAGTAGTGAGGGGGAAGGGGGAGAGAGTGAGCGAGAGTAGGAGGTGAGGGGAAGGAGGGTAGTGGGAGTGAGTGAGGGGAAGGAGGGTAGTGAGAGGAGTGAGGGGGAAGGGAGGGTAGTGAGGAGGAGGGGGGGGAAGGGTGGAGAGTGTAGAGGGAGAAGATGGTGAGGGAGGTGGGGAAGGGAGGTAGTGAGAGTGAGGGGGAGTGAGTGAGGAGGAGGTGAGGTAGTGGGAAGGAGGGTGGTGAGGGAGGAGGGAGGGTGGTGAGGGGTGAGGGGGGTGGGTGAGTAATGAGGGGGAAGGGAGGTAGTGAGAGTGAAGGGAAGGGAGGGTGTGAGTGAGTGGGGGGGAAGGGAGGGTAGTGAGGGAGTAGGGGGAGGGAGGGTAAAGAATGTGAGTGAGGGGAGAATGAGGGGAAAAAGGAGGGTAGAGAGAGTCAGTGAGGGGAGGGGAGTCACTGACCATGGCCGTGGGAGCGGAAGTGACGTTACAAGTAGCTGCCCAGAGATAACCAATAACAGACCACTTTACCTCTCCTCCTGTCTCTCCCTCTCCTCCTCCTGTCTCTCCCTCTCCTCCTCCTGTCTCTCCCTCTCCTCCTCCTGTCTCTCCCTCTCCTCCTCCTGTCTCTCCCTCTCCTCCTGTCTCTCCCTCTCCTCTTGTCTCTCCCTCTCCTCCTGTCTCTCCTGTTCTGTTATTTTTCTCTCGCTGTCCCTTTAATAACACTGAAAAAATAACTATAATAATAATAATAACAATAACAATAATAACAATAATGTCTATCTATGGTTATAATGAAAGGGTGTGTGTGTGTGTGTCTGTGTGTTGTGTGTGTGTGTGTCTGTGTGTGTGTGTCTGTGTGTGTGTGTGTGTGTGTGTGTGTGTGTGTGTGTGTGTGTGAGTCCCAGCCATAGCTCCTAATCAGGGAAGCAGTTAAGAGACCTGAAACTTTCCTCACTTACAAGTATCAAGGTTGTGTAGCTTCGTGTTACTATTGACCACGGACCCCAGGTTGTCTGGAGGTCGGAGGGGGGAAGGAGGGGGAGGCAGGGCAAACTGTGACAATCAAGTCTTATACACCCAACCTGAACGAAGCCGGACAATTTTGATAATAATAATACTGATACTAATAATGATAATAACTGTAATAATAATAGTAATAATTACACTTACATATACAAACATAAACATATAATAACAAATATAAACACACTCATAGTTATACACACAAACATGAGTAAATAACACACACACACACACACACACACACACACGCACACACACACACTGGTCTACGTATCTACTGATACATTTACCCAAGAAACTAAACCGCTGTCAATAGGTGTTGGCGAGACAGTACGTGCGTATCTCTGACCATTACAGCCTGTGTTCGAGTCCGGAACAAACGTGGGAAGGGTGTGAGCCAGTGTGACTCTCACTACCAAACACCACACAGGTTTTCTCCAATGTTCATAACAACGTAACAAAGAACAGACCAACAGCCCGAATGGATAGTGAGGTGATGAATGAAATAATAAATTAATTAGGTGGATCAAATTGAACATCAGAATGAAATAGTCATCCTTCAATTACTACAAACACTAATTCCCCGCTAGTTTCAGTTTTGGTGATTCAATCGTTTACTCTAACAAGGACTAACAGGTACAACAATTACCATTCTTAACTTCAATCATCCTTGTCATTAATTTAGTTACATAAAAAACTTAATTTTTCTCGTTTTCTTTAACACCAAGACAAGTGTAACTATAATAAGGTTATTTTACGAACTTTTGCTTAATTAAACTAAAAAATCCTTATGATCAATTAAATTAGGCAGTAAAGAGTTGGAGTACTCGAGAAGGATCACCTGAAGATTAGACACCTCACCTTATTTCACCTGAAGATTAGCTCCCCAAGTGTAATTTACCTTTCACGATTAACCATCCTGACGCTAAAAAAAACTAACCTAACTAGACTTAACCTTACTTATCCTATCCTAAAGTTAACCTAACTTAACCAAACCTAAAGCTAACTTAACCTAATGCTAAGCTAACCTAACCAAACATATCCTAAAGCTAACCTAACTTAATCAAACCTAAAGCTAACTTAACCTAACTAAACCTATCCTAAAGCTAACCTAACTTAATCAAACCTAAAGCTAACTTAACCTAACAAAACCTATCCTAAAGCTAACCTAACTTAATCAAAGCTAAAGTTAACCTTACCTAATACAAAGCTAAACTAACCTACCCGTAGCGCCAGGGTAGTTAAACTTCAGGTGAAATAAATCTAAGGTGTCTAATCTTCATGTCACCCAAGTCTCAACCTGGAACAAAGGAGCAGTTTTTGTTTTCGTACACAGCTTAATTTATTTTTTTGCGGATTTACTCCAACAAATGAAGCTTCGATTAATTTTTTGACACTATTTTACTCACGATATAAAAGTCCCGTTACGCCTGGTCGAAGCTGTATCGAGACATTAGTAGCTAGGTTTCAGTAGTTCAGTCTCGTTTTAGCTGTTTAGTCTTGTCCCAACAGATTAAAGTCTCGTTCCAGCAGTTTAAGAGTCCCGTTCCAGCAGTTCAGTCTCGTTCCAGCAGTTTAAAGTCTCGTTCCAGCAGTTTAGTCTCGTTCCAGCAGTTTAAGGTCTTATTTCAGAAATTTAGTCTCGTTCCAGCAGTTTAGTCTCGTTCTAGCAGTTTAAGGTCTTATTCCAGAAATTTAGTCTCGTTCCAGCAGTTCAGTCTCGTTCCAGCAGTTTAGTCTCGTTCCAGCAGTTTAAGGTCTTATTTCAGAAATTTAGTCTCGTTCCAGCAGTTTAGTCTCGTTCTAGCAGTTTAAAGCCTCGTTCCAGCAGTTTAAAGTCTCGTTCCAGCAGTTTAAAGTCTCGTTCCAGCAGTTTAAAGCCTCGTTCCAGCAGTTCAGAGTCTCATATACGTGTAACGGGAGCGTGTCCGGGAGTGTACGTTTCTGGCCCCTCCGCTTCTTCCACCCATGACCACTCACTAGAGGAGGACCATCCATGACCACTCACTAGAGGAGGACCATCCATGACCACTCACTAGAGGAGGACCATCCGTGACCACTCACTAGAGGAGGACCATCCATGACCACCCATGACTCACTAGAGGAGACCAGAGGAGGACCATCCATGACCACTACTAGAGGAGGACCACCATGACCACTCACTAGAGGAGAGGACCATCCATGACCACTCACTAGGAGGAGGACCATCCATGACCACTACTAGAGAGGACCATCCATGACCACTCACAGAGGAGGACCACCCATGACCACTCACGAGGAGGACCACCCATGACCACTGACTAGAGGAGGACCACCCATGACCACCACTAGAGGAGGACCATCCATGACCACTCACTAGAGGAGGACCATCCATGACCACTACTAGAGGAGACCACCCATGACCACTACCAGAGGAGGACCACCCATGACCACTCACTAGAGTGAGGACCATCACTAGAGGAGGACCACCATGACCACTCACAGAGGAGGACCATCCATGACCACTCACTAGAGGAGGACCACCCATGACCACTCACTAGAGGAGGACCATCCATGACCACTCACTAGAGGAGGACCATCCATGACCACTCACTAGAGGAGGACCATCCATGACCACTCACTAGAGGAGGACCATCCATGACCACTCACTGGAGGAGGACCATCCATGACCACTCACTAGAGGAGGACCATCCATGACCACTCACTAGAGGAGGACCATCCATGACCACTCACTAGAGGAGGACCATCCATGACCACTCACTACAGAGGAGGACCATCCATGACCACTCACTAGAGGAGGACCATCCATGACCACTCACTAGAGGAGACCATCCAGACCAACTAGAGG